CTTTCTGCATTGTCAAGACAGGTGTTCTGCTCTGTCAGTGTAATTACTGTCCTAGTTGTGCTAGTCTCAGCTCCGCCTGAAATACTCAGTGTGTGCATCCCTGCTTTGGCCATGGTTTCTCCAGTTGCCTCTGGGTGACTTCATCCTACAGTTGTTCCCTCAAGAAGTCTTGGGAAAATCTTCTCTGATTTCTACTGTGTTCAAAACTTTACCTTTTATACTTGAAGGGTAGTTTAGTTGGATCATAAAGTCCTTCACACACACTTTTTCCATGTACCTTGCAGTTACTGTCACATTCTCTTCTGGGACCAAATATTGCTATGGAGAATCTAGGGCCAGGTTTTCTGTCATATCTTCAAGATAGAGCCTTTATCTTCAAGTCTGTTAATTATCTTCAAGTGGTGAATTATGTAGGGTAGGTTTCAGTGTAGACGCTTCTGAGCCAGTTGACCCTGGTACCACATGTGCCCTTTTAGGATATATATTCAGTTTTCATTTCAGATAGTTCTCTTAGATTTAATCTGAAGTGTTTTGTTCTCTAATATTTGTTTTCTGCATGGATTGTATTTCCTTTGCCTGTCATCTTTAGCAGTAATATTTTCTTATCTTTGTAAATTGTTCCCATTGAATTTAAGTCCTTAATTATTTCTTCTTTCTTGTGTTCCTTCTCATTTCACCTTTACTTCTATGATCGTTTTGATTTCTTCCGATTTTTCATGAGCTCTGATCACTCATATTTTTATCTCCCCCTTGTTGTCTTAACAATCTTTTCTGATTTCCTGTTCTGCTTTGTGATTATCCTTAATAGAGGCGATTGGATGAAGTTTTTATAATTTATGTATAATGTTTGCTCAGTGTTTTCGTGTTTTCTTTGGCTGTTTTTCTGGTGCGTGGTTACGTTCTGTTCTTTTCCTATTTTAATTTGTACATTAAATATCTTTGAACTGATGCTATGCCATTTTTTTTTTAAAAAAAACTTATTACATATCATAAAATGAGTTGAATTGCTCTGCCCTAGCTACTTGTGGGGAAATTCCTTCGTGTGTGCGCATGTGCATAAGGGGGTGCCAGGGCCAGGGGAGCCTTCAGTATTTACCGGTTGCAGTGCTGTTTCAGTGTTTTTGCAGACATTGTGTTTCCTGATAAAATAGCTTTTTTGTATAGCCCCATTCCCTCTGCGTCTCTGAACCAAACTGTGTCCAGTACGTGGTCTTCTTTTTATTTTTGGAGAGGTTTTTGCTATAGGGCATGTGCGCTCGCCAGAAAGAAAGAGACAGAAAGTGAGAAATCACCCCCAGGGAAGATGACCATGCTGCAGTCCCTTCTCCTCCATTCTCCTCTCGGGATCTTGGGCACGCACGCACATGCACCTGGTGTAGTTTAAACCACCGGGTTCGGGACTTGAACCGCGGTTGAGGAGTCCAGTGACATAGCCATTATGCCAACTGCGGGTCCCCCAGCAGGTCTTCTCGACAACCTGCCCACTTCCTGGCTTCACAAAGAGGCATATCTTTTACACTTCAGGGTGAGCCTCTTACCTTTAGGAAGCGTACTGTGGCGGCTGCTTCCTGACACGTGCACAGGCCATCTGCTCTTCTCTCTCATTGTGTTCTTTTCTTGATGTCTGTCTTGTCCCCGGTAAGACCTGTGTTATCTCCACGATGTCTGCTCTAGATTTCGACGTTCTTATAATATGTAAATGATAAAATTGTCCTTTCAGCGTGAGCCCATGCCCTGGACAGTATATTTAGCTGTCATTTGCTGTGCTCCTGTGCCACTGGTTTTTAATGTTTGTTTTCCCCTCTTATCTTGGATTCATGGCTGTTATTAGTAGCTTGTAGCAGTTTTGTACAATTTGACTTATTTAGCTGAAAATGGAGTGGGCTGTTTCCCTCCCATCTGTCTGCTTGTTTCTTTGGGATGGGACCCTGGAGGAGAATGTCAGGGTCCTGTGCTGGGAGCAGGGTTTTAGTGGTGGCGGAGGGTGGAGCTAGAAATACCTGGTAGCAAGCTGTGTGTTGATGGAGGTGTGTGAGGTGGCCACGTCACTGGGGATGCTGCGTAGTGCTTCAGCTGTGGCTCTCTTTTGAAGGAAAGCTGACTGGGGACTTGCTAATGGATTGGTGAGAGGGGACGCACCCGTAGCTGTGTCTGTCTGTCTTCAAATGCTTTTCTGTATCAGGGAGCTTCTAGCAGGCTTTATGTGAATAGGACCTGTTCACGGAAAGGCCCCGCAGGGGCACCTGCCCAGCTGCCACGTCAGCAATTTTCGTATCAGCTGGAGCCGCTGGTGTGTGTTACTCCTGAGTGGAGATGATTGGCCATTTTTGGGTTCTGGGTCTGTTACTGAGGTCAGGTGCCCTGGGCACTCTCTCCTCTTGGTCCCAACAGCCATACCAGGGGCCTTCACATGCACTCTGCACAGAGACCAGTTCTTGGGCCACAGTGGGTGAATGGTGCAGCGAGCTGCTCCACATAGGAAAGTGAGAGCCTGCCCAGCCATGCCTTGGTCGGTCATCTGACTGTCCTGAGGGTGCTCCAGAGCTACTCCTGCTTGGTAAAGCACAATCTTTGGCCAAAAAGAACAGTTTCCAAACCTGCTGGGACCTCATTTACTGTGGATTATGGTTCTCTCTGCTCAGGTTTATTCATTCCTAACATGATCCCATTTGCTTTCTCTCTTCTTTACAATTTAATAAATCTCTGGCCAGTGCTTTCGGTGGGAAGGAGGGCAGGCAAACTCCTGGGCTTACTGTTTGCCATATTGATCTGCTTATTTGCATTGCTTCTTAGGAATGTGAGGGGAATGTGGAAAAAAATAATTTGGGATGGCTTTCTTTGTTTGTTTTTACGATTCAGAGGTCAGAAAACGAGCTGGCTAACATGCAGTATAAACTGTTCATCCAGGGCTGTGACATTTTGGCTTCTTGTACTTCTCACAGATGCCTAGCCATGGATGTGGGAGACCCATAACTGGGCACCTGGTACTTTTGGAGGTCTCTCTGTGGAGTGTGGAGTCTGAGAAAATGTAATTTAAAATGATTTATCTAGTCCATTACCCATAGCCATATAAATGTGGGAAAAGCATGTCTATCTTAAATAAAAATCTGTGTAAGACTGGTCTGAACATTTAAGTATGAAAGCACATTTTAAGTACAGAGTTTGCATAAGTAGCAAAATTTTATGTATTGAAACATTTCCTCCTTGTATTCCCCAAAATGATTTCCTTACTGGGCTGTGCTGTATGGGCTACTGGTGTTGATGGTAAAGCTAAAGCTAACCACTACTATGATGGTTTGTGCATTAAATTAGAAAACTTTGTGATGTCCCTGTGGCTTGGTTCACAGGAACATTTAATGATTCATACTGATATCTATTAGTAATGAACTAAGGTGAGAATTAGATTGTTAGGATAAAAGCAAGGAGGGATTTTCCTCCACATGGGCTAGAGCTGTGTGGATTCATTTTTCTGTATAGTGTATTTTCTTAGTCTCTCTCAAATATCTTTCTCATTTAATCTGACCAAAGTGCCTTCTTATACCCTTCCACAATTTGCTATTGCCATGAAGAATGTTCAGGTATGCTACAGTGAAATGAATTTCCATAAAAACTAGAACCTGCACACAACAACCCATTGTTTGAGTTGTGTGTCCAGGGAGAATGCTGAGGAAAATCTGTGTAGAAGGTTCCCAAGACCAGTCCCAGATTAGGGAATTCTGCTGGAGGCTACAGTTGGCTCACTACACAACCGTACTCAGGGCTAGGGCACATTCTGGTGAAAAGCAGCAGCAGTGGCAATAAAGGGAAAGTGCATGGGAGCAAAATCTGGAGGAAACCAGGTGGCAGATTCCAAATCTCCCCTCTCTGATGTCACACAGGACATGCTTCATTCTTCAAGCAATGAAAAATCCACAGCATGTGTGAGGTCTTGCCTACCAGGGCAGCTTAGTCCAGAGTTTCTCTCTGGGGCTAGTCACTAGACACTTCTGTCTAACCCACTCCTCAATTCTAGATGCCCAGGAGGAAAGCTGTCTGGTAGCCACCATATTGTTTGTACAGTCCTGGAGTAGAAAGCCATTCTAACCAGAGAAAATTGGGGACATCCTGAAATGCAGCTTCCCAGACGCCAACAACGTCAGCCTTTTCACACATGACAGTCTCGCTGCTCTGCTCTTGGCTTCATGATATTGGATATCTAGGTGCCTTATACTTACTAAATATTTAAAATGTTCTAAAATACAGATGGATGTGGATTATCCTTAGATTTCCCACACCAGGACCTCAGGATTGTAAGAGTCTGTGTTGAAGCCCCTGGGCAGCAGCCGTTCTGCCTGTTGGCAGTTACTGAACTATCCACCCCTTGCTGACCATTCTGGTTTCCTCTGCCACTGCCTTACTTTCCAATGTAACAGTCCCTCCAGCTCTAGTCTTCGGTGCTAAGATTATGCTGTAGAAAGTGTTGCATTAAGGGAACCAGCAGTTAGCATAATGGCTATGTCGCTGGACTCCCATGTAGTCAACTGAGGTTCGCATTCCGGACCTGGTGGCTTAAAATTCACACCGGGCGTGTGTGCGTGCGTGCCTAAGATCCTGAGAGGAGAATGGAGGAGAAGGGATTGTGGCGTGGCCATTCTCCCTGGGGGGTGATTTCTCACTTTCTGTCTCTATGTCTCTCTCTGTCTGGCGAGCACACACGCCCTATAGCAAAAGTCTCTCCAAAAAGAAAAAAGAAAGTGCTGCATTAAAATACCTCAAAGGTGTGGGGAGATTATGGGGGTAGACTGTTAAGTAAACAGCAGTGAATAACAAGCTATCTAAATTCAGCCCTAATTATGTTTTTTATAATTTTTTGAACAGAATTACTAATATAGCATTTAGGCTCTTAGCAGTAATGGTGAACGGATCAGGGATTATGACTTCAGAATCAGTTTTGTAGGAGAAGTAAAAGGCAAGAAGTTATAATTCCTTCTAACAGCATTATCTTAAACATATCTCAACAGCTATTCAGGATTATGAAACTGCTCAGGAACACAATGAAAATGATCAGCAGATTCGGGAAGGTCTAGAGAAAGCACAAAGACTACTGAAACAGTCGCAGAAACGAGATTATTATAAAATCTTGGGAGTAAAAAGGTGAATTATTAATCTGAAATTTCTACTGCTATTTTTTTAAAGCTAACCATTGCTTTTTTTCTTTCTCTGAATCATTTCCTTTTCTTACATATTTCAGTCACATAGATTGAACTTTAACAGTCTTTAACACCATAAAGCTATTTTGAATGTTACAGGTAGGTTTTCTTGGTAGAGATCAGAGATGCAAGATAGAAGATTAGTAGTTAGTGAAAAAAATGTAACTGTATAGCATAAATAGGTTCTAGGCTTAGCTTTTTAAGAAAGGTAAAGAGGTAGGAGGAGCTTTCTTGGTGGGGAGAGCAGGGAATAGGGAAATGGGGAATAGAAAAAAATACCTCTATGCCCAAAGTGAAGTAGCACTTTTAGAATTAACTTCCAGGCACTGGAGGTATGTAGTTTAGTCATGGAAGGTGGACTTTATATGAAAGTACATACTAAATGAACCATCAACTTTCAGTCCAAAATCTGAAACTTTGTTCTTACTAAGCTCATCCTACAGCCAAATTAAAGCTGGGGTTCAGAAAAATCAGGTATCTTCTTAATGCCAAGAATTGGGTCATGTTAGCTAGGGAATTCAGAAAGTTTACAAATTCACCTGTGTGATTTTTTTTTTAAGGGAAAGTTGTAAATATCAGGATTACCTAATTTTATTTCCAGTAAGATTTTTTTTTTTAAGTTTTTGCCATAGGGCACATATACTTACCAGAGAGAGTGAGAGAGAGAGAGAGAGAGAGAGAGAGAGAGAGAGAGAGAGAAAGAGAGACAGTGTGAGGGAAAGCGAGAAATCACCCCCTAGTGGGAGTGGCCACATTGCAATCCATTTTCCTCCTGGGTTTCTGGGAACACACGCACATGCGCCTGGCATGATTTTCAAGCCACCAGGTCTGGAACTTGAAATGTGGTTGGCCATGTGGGGTCCAGCGCCTTAACCACCAGGCCACCTGCTGCCTCCTCACCCCTCCCCAGTAAGATTCTGATCTTAGTGAGCAATGGTCTAAGGAAGCCTGACCAGCTGTAATGATCGTCCAGAACTGTATGTTAGATCGTGGCCTCTTCTGCCACTGTGACTTAGGAAACTAGGCTGTTCATCGCCAGTGGGATCTTAACTAGCTCTTCTGATGTTTATCACAGTGTATTAGACACTTTTAAAGTAACAACTGTGACTTAATTTTACCATCCTTAGAAATGCCAAAAAGCAAGAGATCATTAAAGCATATAGAAAATTAGCACTGCAGTGGCACCCAGATAACTTCCAGAATGAGGAAGAAAAGAAAAAAGCTGAGAAAAAGTTCATCGACATAGCAGCTGCTAAAGAAGTCCTCTCTGATCCAGGTACTGCATGCCCCTCACGTACTCCTATTCTTGAAATTCCTGAATTGGCAATTGGTGACTTATTAGCTCTTTCTCCATGGCCTGTCTCTGAGGCAGTTGCAGAAATGGAGAGTGCGGACTGTGGACTGTGTGGACAGTGAGGGGAACGTGCTCAGAGGCACTGGCCCGGGCCTTATAGTTTCAGGAGTCCAGTCTTAGGTCTGCCCTTGTCCCCACTGACTCTGGGGACCCTTGATACATGGTGCAGTGCAAAGCCTGGGGGAATTGGAAGGCCTGAGATTGAATCTTTTTTTCCTACTTGAATAAGTTACTGAAACTTTTCACTGGTGCACTGAGGGTATACCATTGAGTACAATGCAATGGCCCTTACCAACAGAGTCCTTGTAACTCACAGGCCAGTGATTAATTGTCTTTAGCAAACTCACAGGAGCTTGCTGAGGAATGGAGAAGAGCAGGTAGCCCTGGCCCAAGTGTGTGTGCCACAATCTTGCCCTTAGTCAGTGAGCCTTAATTTTCCTGACTGATGTACATAATTTCACCATGCATCAATACAGCCCAGAAAGGAAGGGGCAAATAGGTGAAGAACTGAGGTAATGAACAATGCTTTGCTACTTTCAGAGAGAATTTACTAAGTAAAAATTGAGCCCCTACAATACCCTTTGAATGGTTTGACCCTGTCAGCCTGTGCAGGGTATGGTGGGGTGGCTCGCTCAGTCTGGGAGTCAGGAGTCTTCTTAGGGGAGGTGGACTCGAGCTGAGTTTGAGGGAGCTGCCAAGGGGCAGGCTGAGTGCAGCAGAGGCAGGCCCCGAGAAAAGCCTCGCGACTCCCATTATTTTCAGAATGAATTTTTTCTAATTTCCTCTCAAGGCATCAGTTCTTTCTTCTATCCTTGTAGTGTTCTTAAGGTCCCCTTTTGCTCAGGCCTGAGAGGCACAGCAGTGGCACCAATCCCAGGGGAGGGAAAGGTGAGCCTCCTGGAGTTGTGCCTTATGGTGGCCTCACTCACCTCCCGTTTGGGGCAACTTAGTGCTGCTCAGATAGAATAGTGAGGCTCCGGGAAGCTCATTAGTTGCCTGGGGAGAAATGAGGCCATTGCTTGGCAGATTTCACTTGTAGAGCTAGGGAAGTGACATGGCCATTTCATCAGAATATAACTTTGAGAGGTCTCACTTTTGTAATTATTTCCAAAGAATTTCCTTGGAAAGCTGCCAAGCTTGGGTAGCTGCTTCTGAGGTGAGATTTAAGCAGCCTGAACTTCAGCTTCTTCTCTGACTAGGGTTTCTCTGGTTTCTGTTAAGTGGGAAGCAGGGAGCATGGATTTGGATATTAGGCACAAAGGTTTTGAAAATTGAAAAGTGTTTCCCAGGCCTAAACCCACCACCACTTATATCTGGATCTTAATTTGTTGATTTATTTTCTAGAAATGAGGAAGAAATTTGATGATGGAGAAGATCCCCTGGATGCAGAGAGCCAACAAGGAGGTGGTGGCAACCCTTTCCACAGAAGCTGGAACTCATGGCAAGGGTTCAACCCCTTCAGTTCAGGCGGACCGTTTAGATTTAAATTCCATTTCAATTAAACCAACTGTTTTTCTGCTCTTCTTCCTTAATTTTTTTAAAAGATTAAAAACAAAGAAACCTTGTTCTGGGATCCTAATGAAAAAAAAAAAATTCAAATCTTTCTGTTTATCCATGACCAAAGAGTTGTTTTAATAGGGAAAATCTGTTCTTATCCATTTTAGACTTAGGGCTGATAGGTTTGCAAGGATAGGGAGGTGTGGAATGATTGTTTCTGATAAAGCAGCCTGCCTACACTCCATGGAGTGGCCTGAGGCAGGCTCGCCTGTAGAATGGCTCTCGTGGTGTTTCTACACTGGAGCATGTAAAGGTTCTTTTTAGATTTTTTTTCTTACAGCCTTGCATAGTCAAGGAGAGCCTGGATGTGTGAGGAGCAGCTGCCATCTTGATGACAGTGAGTTGTGTGTCAGTGTTCTCAGAGAATGTGAACATTCTGAGGCCATGTTCTTAGGGATGAGCTCTCATTTATGTTCATGTCTGAAGACTCAAGCCAGTGTGGAAATAACCTGCAAGGTAAGCTTAGATTTCGGTCAGTCCAGTCACTTACGATTGTGTGAAATCACTGAGCTCATTTAGTGTAAATGCCTTTACACACCTGCCAGTGGCAACAAGCTGTCACTGACGAAATGGCAGGTCCATTTCTTGGGAAACCTGCTACCAAATAGTAGTCAGTATATCCGGGTGTAGACATTGGGTTGATGTAAGGCAGTCTCTTTTTTTTTTTTTTTTTTTTTTTTTTTTTTTTTTTTTTTTTTTTTTTTTTTTTTTTTTTTTTTTTTTTTTTTTTTTTTAATTCAGTACCTTGAAGAGAATATTGAAAACCACTTAACTTGATTTTAATTGTAAAAGCTTATTGACCCTCTGGTTTAATTTATTAAGCACAAATTAAAGGTAATACATAAACTAGGTTCAGATAATGTAGCAGTGGTATTATTTAAAATAATATTGCTGAAGTATAGATCAAAATGTTTTAAACAACTGAAGTTCTGAGTTGTCATATAGAACTTCCTGTAGCAGGACTGGCGTGGACATGTAAAGTTACTCTGCTGACATAAACACAAGAATGCCACGTCTCCCACTTCTACTAAATACAGTGAGCCACCTTGTCTCACTCCTCCTCATGCATCCAGGCCTGACCTCTGGGCTGTAGGGACTGCATGCGGGCCCCTTTGCCGGTGTGTGTTAAAAAGCAGATCTGCCTCTACCAGACCTGGATGCCTATAGACGTTCTCCTGTGCAGAGAAAATAGGGGCTTGAGAATCTAGTCAGCTCTGGCTGTTTTCTACCATCATTCCCTTTAATCAGATGATATCTCCTTGTGAAATGCCTTACCTTCTAAGAAGGTAACTGTTTTAAGAAACTAACTACTCTGGGGGGTGGGCCATGCAAAGTTTCCACGCATACATGTTTTTTGTATACTGGAAAATTTTTGCCCGACCGAAAAATGAGTGTTACTTTACGAATATTGAATGTTTATGGAACTATCAATGTTGGATTTAAAATCTAAGACAGTTACTTTAGATGAGAATTATTGCCTTTAATCTGAAAAGGTTGTTTTTGCCTTGAAGCATTTTTAAGCATTTTAAAGATTTTAATGAAATCAAGCATTTTAATTCATTGTGGAAGGCCACCTGACCTCGAATGTCTGCAGTAGCCAAGCACAAATCATTCGCTTCTGCAGTCTTATCCTAAAACACATGAGGAAAAACTTTTACTGAGAGACAAAAGTCACATACATAGTTGAATTAAGCAAAACCACTTAGGTGCTTTTCACATCTATTTGAGTCTTTTTCTTACCAATAAAATTAATAGTGCATTTTGGAAACTAGTGAACAGCTTGAAGCTTTTGTTTATTTTAATGTCTGAATACTCAAGCCAGTGTGAAAATAATCTCCAAGGTAAAATCATTTTTTTTCTTATTCTTAATTTTAGTAATCTCATTATTCATTAGTATGTCAGCAATATTTTCTTTTTCAATCTGGTTCCATTTGTATATGATGTCACTGTGACCTCTTTGAAATATGGTGATGGCCTCGACCAACTTACAAAAATACAAATTTTCACATGGGATGAGAACAAGAAAATAGCAAGTCACTTGCCCTTCCATTTGGAGGAGAGGATGAAGAGTTCCCACTATAAGGAGCCAGTTTGTGTGGGGCGGTTGAGGGGTAGGCCACATGGGAGATGTGTCCTGGCCTTCCTGCCAGCCTGCTGCCAGAGGCAGGTTTGTATTTTTTTTCCCCACTGTACAACCATAATTTCTGTTCTGAAGTCTCACCCTGGATTTAATGTAGTCATCCTAACTGAAATGTGCAATTACTTGCCTGTTTTGGGTGAAGAGAGAGGAGAACTTATAGTGCCAAATGCCAGTGCCACGGAGGGAAGGAATTCTCTGGAATCTGTTGTTTTGGTGATCAGTGAAGAAAATAAGCACCTCTGAGTTCCAGCGTTGACAGCCATCGTCAGCCTTCTGGTGTCCACACGAATGGAAAGATGGTCACTCCGTGCTTTCCTTGAGCAGCAACTGAGGAAAGTCCTGGTTGTGTAAAGGGATAGAATGGTCACAGTCATTCCTCCTGTGTGACTTAGGGTATCATTATGTAATGTAAACACATGTTACTAAAAAGCTGTTTACTTTTTTGGTATGGGGGGGAACTACTTCCACTTTTCAGTCTGTTTTAGGGGACAGTAGGTACCAGGTAACCTTGTGGCTCTTTAGGGAGGAATAAAAGCAGGGGGGAGGTGGCCTAGCCTTATTTCTATTATATTCCGTTTGGAAGCCCCTCCCTTCATTTTTGGCACACTCCATGAGTGGAAGATCATTGGTCTGTACATTGTGGGTATTTTCCACAGCAGGAAGTATTAAACACTTCAGTCTAAAAACATGAAAAATGTTCTAAAAAGGGAGGTTAAATTTATTTCATTCCTCAACTGTGAAAGTTCATGCTTTCTTACCAATAGATGAAAACTTGAAGACAATTTCAATACTGATGTAAATTGGACATAATATGATACTAATTTTAAAATGTCTTTTTAGTCAGTATTAAGTCTATTTTTAATTATCAGTATGAAAGCAAAATTTTAAAGCTGTGATAATGGAATCTGAAAACTATCTAGATTTTTAAAGAGAAAAATGTACCGATAATCAAGTAGGGAAAAAAAGCCAGTTGAATCAAAATTTGATATTGATACCATTTTCTATTCAGGGTGTGTAATGAAAAAATTTAACCCTTAAAGGTAGGAGATTGGTCAGAAGGTGTGTTTGATATTTACCATGGAAAAGGCATAAAATGTGTATGTAAAAAGTGGCTTCTCAGTCAGGCCTGCATTGGAGCTGACCGCCCCCACAAACATGGCTCTGGGAATGGGCTTTGGGAGAAGCACACGCCCATGGGCCAACCAGAGGATTTACGTGACTTTGAATGTAGCTGGCGTTCCCTTATTCGTAAAGGGAAGAGAAAGGCAAATGCAAGTTTGCCAGTAACTGATGTCCTCATTCTAAATCAGATCATTCCCTTTTTGTTCCTGGCAGAGTTTATTGTGTAATTTCGAGTGATTTAAGAAGTGGTGATAATTTCTTTTTACAGAGGAACTCATTTGCTGAATGACTTAGAGTGAATTAGCCACTGCGTGGCTCTGTGTACAGTAACAGGTTTTGCACTCGTCTGCTGTCGGAGCACTTGCTGCAGTGAAAGCGGAGCACGAGGAGGTGAAAATGAGCCGTTTGACAAGTTAAAACACTGCTCTTATCGTGAGGTTACGGTTTGTTTTCAATTGAGACAAGACTAAATAACCTAACCCATCTCAATTTAGTGTTTTAATAAAAAAAGAACCTCAAATTATTTGAAATGGTTCTCTGACGTGTCTGCAAATATGGGTACTATTTTTATGCCCGTGTATTTTCACATTTAATAAAAATATTTATGGTCATATCAGTACTTTCTTGCTTTTGGTTCATTTTTAGTCTTTGAGTATAAGAAACTTCTAGTCTGTATCCAACTTGACTACACACAAAATCAGTCACGAAAATGACAACGGGGAAGGTTAGAGCATGAAAAGCTGAAATGGCTAAACTATTTTAGCACTTGAAGATTCCGAGCACAGGCAGGACTTAACAGAGTGGGCGGTTCTTCCATTTCTGGTCTAAAGTCTAACACTTCAACTGACTTGAAGGCTTTCTCTCTTATACCCTAGATGCACATTTCCACTAAGGTCCTAAGGAAGGACCTGGCTGGCACTCCTACTTCAGTTCCTCCTCAGCATCACTTCAGACCTTTCCTCACACTTGTCCTTAGCAACACTTTCATTTGGATTTCTACTCCCTGCTGTTCATACTGGTCTAGTTCCTTCCAAGGGACAGCCCAGTGCAAAGTAGGTGCTTAAATTATTTGAATTTGAAATCTCATTGAACTGTGAAATATTTATTGAATTTGGTCAAGTTAGGAAGACCTACTACCCTAGTGACCTTATTTAGATCAGACTCTTTAGAAACAGCTTCCTGGTGGAAGTAGACAGTGGGGAAATAAAGGACAAGACAATATGCCACTGGCTGGAAGACACTAAACACATCAGTGGGAGATGTAAGGACAAGGACCTTTGAGTGAAAAGCACTTTGATGCTATAGACTAGGTACTCTGCTGCATCTCTGTGGTTAGTTCTGTATACTTCATAGTTGACCTTGTCCAGCAAGGCTAATGCCATAATCGTTCCTTCTCTCCTTTTCACCCCAAATCTTAAAACATTTCCCATGCAAATAATGTTCTGGTTTTGAGCCAGTCTTTCAAAGTTCAATTAATTTTTCTTCCTGTAGTTCTAATAAAAATCTTTAATTTTCAAAGTGAAATCACACCAGATAGCATACAAACCTTACATAGTTGAGTAGACCCACGACTGAAGTGAATTTTAAGTAATTATGAACTGCAGAGGGCAAGACCATTTTCCAAATCTGAAATCTTTATAAGAAAGGTATTAACAGTATGTTCTAAGTCAAGGGAAGTTTTTTTGATAAATTGAGTTAATATACCACAAAACGAGGAACAGTGATCTATTTACTGTAATTTAAGACTTTTTTTTTTTTTAAAAAGAGTGAGATTGGCAATAGGATAGGTTTGCATACTTGACCATAACATCTAAAATACAAAATTGCCTGTAATTTGAACTTCAGCCACCAGAGTTTTTAGATTCCCACATCTCCTTTCCCTCATTTTGCCACCAAAGGTGAGATTTTAATCAAACTGATTCTTCGGAAATGAGTGGACCCCGTTAAGTCTATTAAATAACAGAAGTGGGCAAGAGAGTGGCTGGAGTTGCAACTCAGTTTTTGGTTACTGAATATAGATTCATCAATACTCTTTGCTTTATCTCGAGAACCATGGATCTGAGATATAACAGTCATTTAGTGAACAGTCTTATAAGTTCATTAGGGAAAAGTTAAATTTCACTCACATCTTTGCTGCTATATTTCAGAGAAGAAAATTC